CTCCAGCAGATGATGATACACACATATATAGTGTCGGAACCCAGATTTACCCCTTCCAATCAACTGTGGGCACTTCAGTACCCAGAAATTCCTGTGGGCTGGTACAGGAACACCCCCCCAGGGTTGATTGGCCAAGGGCTAATGTCCAGCCCACGTCCATATTTCAATAAATTGAGGACCCTGAGATTTGGACGGGGTGATTCATACGGAGTCGGTTCTATTTGACTGGCGGATCGCGGACTTTCTCTGACTTGCTCCAGTCGCAGGATAAATCTTGGTAAAAGATTTATTTCTGTTTTTATTTCCTTTTATTTTATAGTGATTAGCCAATTGTGTGTCTTTTTGTATTTACTGTATTATTTGTAACATTTTATACTTTGTACATATTTTATGCTCCGCCCACTTTCAGGATATTAAATCATAAAATTAATAAGTGACTTCTGGGTACTAAGCTCGGGCTCATATCTCCGGGGAGATTGTATTGTATTTCAGTGTCTTTATATGCTCGGTCAAGTTCATTGCCTATCTGTATGCAATTGCATGGCATGTTGGCAGATTGCATGCAGATTGTAGAGTAGCAGATCTGCCAGACGGAGATCTGTGTGTGTGTGGTGGCCCAGCAGACTAGTCTGCGGACAAACTGTTGGATGGTGGCAAGCTACCGTTTGTGGTGTGTCTGGTGTGGGGGTGAGTGGACAGTGGAAGAGTGATTAACTCCGGGGTTCTAGCTTGTAGGATGGCTGGAGGAATCCTAGAACGGTGTGTCATTTTCTAGGCTTCTCCTCAACCCTTAGAATGCACCAGATTGTATATAAGATTTGTATCTGCCTGTGTGTGGTCAGCCAGCTGGATTGGAGTGGAGTCTCCCTCTAGTGGTGGCCAGAGGTAGTGCGGGCTGTGAAAGTGTAACACGGCCAGTCTTATATGCTCAAAGTCCCCCTCATTCCCTCTTTACCCCAAGTCATGACCAGACGTGCATACCTTGGTTAGCTAGTCACTGTGGGCGTGCGGTGTGGATCCGTGACAGTACCCTATGGCATCTTGGTGCCCACTGGATCTCGCATCCCAAAATCTCTGAAGGTGCTCCCGCAGCATTGCAAGAATATTGGGATGTCAATGCAGGATCTTCCTCTCCAGAAACGGTGTGGGATGCCTTCAAAGCATTTTCTCTGGGACATTCTATTTCTGCCGTAAAAGCGGTTTAGAAACATCAGACAGCTACCACAACCTCCCTCCATACTCAGGTTGTTGACAGATCCACTCAATATGGAGCTGACCCCTCTGACTCAAATTTTGACTTTCTTATGTCTGCCAAACGTGAACTACACCTACACCTGAAGGAGGTTACTAGGTTGGACATACGTACCTCTAAACAAATATTTTATGAACCAGGGGACAAGAATGGTAGGTTGCTGGCCATGTTATCCCAACATGATGCCCCCCCTTACAGTAGTCTCCGAGCTTACCTCCCCCACTGGCGAAACTATTGCTGATGCTGAGGGCATTCTCAAGGAATTTCATGATTACTATCAAAACCTCTATTATTATTATTATACAGTATTTATAAAGCAGCAATAGTTCGCTCAGCGCTGTACATTACAAAGGGGGACAGAACAATAACAATACAATACAATGCAAAACATGAGGGGATTGAGGACCCTGCTATTTGGAGCTTACAATCTAGGAGGGAGGGGATGGTGGCACAGGAGGAGATAGCTGTGGGGGATGGAGTGGTAGGAAGAGTGGAGGAGGTCGGCAAGTTAGCAGGGGGTGGGGTAGGCTTCCCAGGGTGAAGAGAGGAGGTAGGTGATAATCTGATGATTTGGGGCAGGGAGTTCCAGAGGATGGGTGACACCCTGGAGAAGTCCTGGAGGCGGGCATGGGAGGAGGAGACCAGGGAACTAGAGAGAAGGAGGTCTTGTGAGGAGCGGAGTGTGCGTGCTGGGCGGTACTTGGATATTAGGTCAGTGATGTAGTTCGGGGCAGTATGGTGGACAGCTTTGTACGTCAGTGTTAGGATTTTGAATTTGATCCGTTGGGCAATCGGAAGCCAGTGGAGGGATTGGCAGAGGGGGGTGGTGGAGATGGAGCGGTTGGAAAGGTGAATGAGTCTGGCAGCCGTATTCAGGATGGACTGAAGCGGGGATAGCCAGCGGCGAGGCAGGCCAGTGAGGAGGGAGTTGCAGTAGTCGAGTCGTGATATGATGAGGGAGTGGATGAGCTGTTTAGTGGTTTCTGGGGTTAGGAACGTGTGGATTTTCTATAGATCCACCTTATCAGCTGGGCTTACCTCGGTGGACCTCTCATCTCTGCTGGATCCTGTTGCCCTTGGTTGGCTTTCAGATACCGAGAGGTCACACCCGGTATTCTGAATTACCTTCGAAGGAGGTTCTGGCGGTGATTCAGTCCTTTTCCTCTGGTAAGGCACCTGGCCCAGGATGGCTTACCCATAGAGGTTTATAAGGAACATGGCAAGATGCTGGCTCCCCTTCTGGACACTCTATACACACACTATCGCCATATGGGCGCCCTTCCTTGCTCCATGGCAGACACACATGTGGTTCTTATATACAAACCTAAGGATCCCAAATCCTGCACCTCTTATAGCCCGATAGCACTCCTTAATAATGACCTGCAAAATACTGACAAAAATTCTAACCGATAGGCTTAATCCCCTCTTACCCTCGATAACTGACTCAGACCAAACCGGGTTCATGGCACACAAATCCACTGACATTAACTTGCACAGATTGTTTACAAACCTTCATGCCCAACATCTTAATCGGGGTTGTAGAGTGGTTACCTCACTTTACATTGAAAAGGCATTTGACACTGTAAAGTGGTACTTGATGAAAACCAAAGGATCTCCCATAAATAGGGGAGATCCTTTGGTTTTCATCAAGTACAGACAATATACCGTTCTCCTACTGCTGCCATCCGTTTTGGGAGGTCACCTGTGGTGTGGCACTGGATTTCAACCTATCTGCTTCTCAATTCCTAACCGTTTTTAATTTGCCTTGCAACTAGACCTCTAGCTCTGCCTATAAGCCATCAGATGCCTAACTTGGGTCTATCTTATGCCATTTACTGAGCCCTGAGCTAAAGCTTGATAGAGAATTCCAGACCAGAAGTGACAGAAGGAGGTTCACCTAATAATATACTACAAACTGACCACTACACACATACAGTAGCACAAACCTAGCTATCTGGCACTGTGCATGCAAGATAATAACAATAGGACAGAAACCCTTCTGTCACCAGACTTCCGATATACACACAGAAGCTGCAGAAATGAAACTATTAGAACACAGGAACACTTGTCTAATAGTCTCTGCTTCTGGTCTGAATGAAATACAGCAGTAGCAGCTCTTGCATGGAAGGCCATGTGGTCCAATTCTGTTCCTTCTTCCTGGAACTTCCCCTTTATCTGATATCACAGTCCTCCAATCTGGGGTTTCTGATCCCACTAGCAAGGAGTAGAAAGTACCAGTCTATAACCAATTATTTATGTGATATTTACCAAGCAACAGATATTATCAATTACAGACACTGGAGGGAAGCAGCTCCCTACAGATGTGCCAGTTCCCACTGAGGGCAGCTCGCCTACTAACCCCTTAATTCCCATCCTAATACTGTATATCCAGTACAGTCTAAATGATTCTCTGTCAACAGGGAAATCCGCATAGATCTCATGACCACATTGAGGATGGAGGAGGATGAAGTCACATGACTGGGAAGATATTAAACCAAATAATTCTGTGTCTACAGGTAATCCTGCATGGATCACATGACCATATCAATTAAAATGGAGGAGGACCAGAGTTACATGACTGAGAGGATATTAAACTTCACCCTGGAGATCATCTACCTGCTGACTGGAGAGGTGAGGAGGATTCTGGGAGTTCACATGACATCACTCTTATCTCTATTAATAAAACACAGACCTGACCAGAGAGGTGAGGAGGATTCTGGGAGGCCACATGACATCACTCTTATCTCTATTAATAAAACACAGACCTGACCAGAGAGGTGAGGAGGATTCTGGGAGGTCACATGACATCACTCTTATCTCTGTTAATAAAACACAGACCTGACCGTAGAGGTGAGGAGGATTCTGGGAGGTCACATGACATCACTCTTATCTCTGTTAATAAAACACAGACCTGACCGGAGAGGTGAGGAGGATTCTGGGAGGTCACATGACATCACTCTTATCTCTGTTAATAAAACACAGACCTGACCGGAGAGGTGAGGAGGATTCTGGGAGGTCACATGACATCACTCTTATCTCTATTAATAAAACACAGACCTGACCGGAGAGGTGAGGAGGATTCTGGGAGGTCACATGACATCACTCTTATCTCTGTTAATAAAACACAGACCTGACCGGAGAGGTGAGGAGGATTCTGGGAGGTCACATGACATCACTCTTATCTCTATTAATAAAACATACCTGACCGGAGAGGTGAGGAGGATTCTGGGAGGTCACATGACATCACTCTTATCTCTATTAATAAAACATACCTGACCGGAGAGGTGAGGAGGATTCTGGGAGGTCACATGACATCACTCTTATCTCTATTAATAAAACACAGACCTGACCGTAGAGGTGAGGAGGATTCTGGGAGGTCACATGACATCACTCTTATCTCTATTAATAAAACATACCTGACCGGAGAGGTGAGGAGGACTCTTGGAATGTGGCGTGATATTACTGGGGTTTTTTTTTTAATAGTGTTTTCCTCCTGTGAAGTCTGGAGGTCAATTGACCATAACAGTGCCTCCACTTCAATCCCTGACACCTGAGATAGATATCAAAAAGAAGATTCTAGAAGTCACCAAGAAGATGATGGAGCTGCTGACAGGAGAGGTGAGCGGCGCCGGGAATTCTGGGACATTCTCCAGTAACAGACAAGGGATGTGTCTGGATGGTGACTGTATCATTGTGTGTGTCAGGTTCCTATAAGGTGTCAGGGTGTCACTGTCTATTTCTCCATGGAGGAGTGGGAGTATTTAGAAGGACACAAGGATCTCTACAAGGACGTCATGATGGACAATCAGCCGCCCCTCACATCACCGGGTAAGAGGAGACTTTATTGTAAAGGAGAGAGCAGTACGGAGGATCCACCTAGATCCCCCATCATCTGATAAACACATAGAGAAACAATGGATTCAATCAGTGTGTGTGTTTCCTACAGATGGATCCAGTCATGGGAACCCACCAGAGAGATGTCCCCCGTCCTCTGTCCTCTGTATTCCCGGGATTCCACACAGGAAGCTCACACCATCCCTCACCATCATCAGGTAGATGGATCCAGTCATGGGAACCCACCAGAGAGATGTCCCCATCCTCTGTATTCCTGGGATTCCACACAGGAAGGTCACACCATCCCTCCCCATCATCAGGTAGATGAGGAACAATCACTGATAGTATCATTAGGATCTGTACATTATCTGCATTGTTATAATTGATGTAATTTTGTATTATTCAGAGTGGAAACCTGAGAGATTATAAAACTGAGGTTAAACAAGAGATAAAAGAAGAGGATGAGGATGGGGTGATGGAAACCTCAGAGTTTGTAAAAGTACACAAAGATCTGTACCAGGATACCATGATAGAGTCCTACAGTAACAGAAACCCACCAGAGAGATGTCCCCATCCTCTGTATTCCCGGGATTCCACACAGGAAGGTCACACCATCCCTCACCATCATCAGGTAGATGAGAAACAATCACTGATAGTATCATTAGTATCTGTACATTATCTGCATTGTTACAATTGATGTCATTTTTATTTTATATTCAGAGTGGAAACCTGAGAGATCCTAAAGTTGATGTTAAAGAAGAGATAGAGGCGGATGATGAAGATTGGGTGATGGAAAAGTCAGAGTCTGTAAAAGTACACAGATATCTGTGCCAGGACACCATGGTGAAGTCATTCATTTACAGGAACCCACCAGAGAGATGTGCCTGTCCTCTGTATTCCCGGGATTCCACACAGGAAGGTCACACCATCCCTCACCATCATCAGGTCGGTGGAGTTGAGGGTCTGGAACATAAAGTGATGGAACACTCTGACATGTGGAGACGATGTGTGGACTCTACAAGATGAGATTTTCTATGTGATCTCACATCATAATTCCTTCTATATTACAGATGTTATTTCTGCCATTCTGTTGGTTTAGGGTGAAGATCTGATGAAGATGAAAGTTGAGGGTGAAGTAGAAGAGACGTATGTGAGGGATGATCAGCAGTCTATGGAGGAGGCTGGAATGATGAGGACATTCAAAGAGGAGGACACTCCTACAGAGATCAGCACAGGTGAGACACAATATATTCTTCTGTTATCTCTGCTCTGTTTCTGCACACTGATTGGTTCAGATGAGTGAAATCAGCCAATAATAGGTTGATAATAATCACTGATACTCGTCCTACACATTATTTCTTCTTTTTTCTCAGGTAAACAGACAGAATTTATGTTCTCAGACATGTATGTAGATTCTGCGACCTGATAGCAGTATTAGGCACAGTAACACAGATTGTGCCTTTCAGAGGTTGGTCCCTACTTATACCTAAATGTTATTATAAAATTCTATCAATGAAGGTTCCCAGGTATGGTATCCAATGTAAGGCTGTATAATATACCACGTCTGGAATTCTTCATTAGTAATCTTGCTGGGATGAAAAGTAATAGGGACATTGAGTCATTACTGCTTGGCCCTTATGGTCCACTGTGGATTTTAAGGGGGACAAAAAAAACAAACAGGTGTTGGGTCCCCCCAATGTCTACTAAGCCATCAGGTCTGGTTTGGATTTCAAGAGGGAACCCTATGTAAAGTTCAAGATAAAAAACAATGGGTCCCCTCCAAAATCCATATCAGACCCTTATCTTAGTATGCAGCCTGGCTAGCCTAGAAAAGGTGTTTAGCATGTACCCCCTTGTGTACCATACAAGGCTACATGCCCTCAATATGTGGGGTGTACCTTGCCTGGGGGAATCGTTAGCCAAAACCTTGTCCCCATAAAGATAAGGACATTAGCCTCTTCCCCACAACACTGGCCTGTTGGCTGTGGAGTTCAGCAGGTGAAGGGCTTGCTGGAAGTTGGAATCTCTCTTTAGGTAGTTCTAGAAACCAACTTCCCTAATGAGTACCTTTAATGTTAGGTGAATAAACATGGAGACCCAATTTTTGACAAGTCAGACAGATCCATGTCAAGTAGAATGAATGAAAGAAAAACATGACCACACATCTGATCCTGTTGCTCACTTTCTGCAAATGACAGCTCCTATCTCTAACCTCCCCCCCCTGATAAATGGAGACAAAAAGGAGAAATCACTTAGGTGACGTCGATGACAAAATGTGGACATGAAAATATTTGGTCACTAATGTCACAGGGATCAAGAATGATATAATTGACCTTAAATGATCATGTCTGTAAATGGCCAATTATGTAAACGTGACACCCCGATCATATGGTTATATTCAGCTAGGGAGATGTCACTCATGGTGAGCAGTCGTCGGGAGTGTATTGTGTTGGCGTTCACTGTAGTTGACTTGAGGGTGAAATCTAGACTGAAGGGGATCAAGAAGGTTATTCTTAATGAGGTGGTCACTCAGGTGTAGACCAGGCATCCAAGGAGTTTGGAGGAAAAGAGGATCAAGGAGATGGGGCATAGGGTATTAAGATTGGTGGGGTCCAAGTAAGGCTTTTTAAGTATTAGGGTGACAAGTACATGTTTTAGAAGTTTTAGAGAGTTGAGGAAGATGCCATAAGAAAGGGTGAGATTGAAGATGTGAGGTACAGAGTATAGATACTGTAGAGCCAGAGGGTAACCACACTATTTGAGAGGGAACAGGGGACAGGTGGTGTAATGCCTATGAAATGTGTTGGCCTTGGACCCTTTGTTTCTTGGGTAATTTTTGCAATAAAGCATTGTTGTCCAAATGTCAGGAGAATGAAAAGTGACTAATGTCATTTCTCTAAGCCAAAGGGACAGAGTCACAAGATAGTCTGCTTAGAGTAAGATAAAAACTTGTTTATGGAATAGAACGTGTTTATGACATCTAGTAATGTCACATTAGAAGATAAGAACCTGTTTAAAGATGTCTACTTGCTTGAGAAGTTAGAAATCTTTAAATTTGGGGTAGATGAGAAGTTTGGGGTAGATGAGAAGTTTGGGGTAGATGAGAAGTTTGGGGTAGATGAGAAGTTTGGGGTAGATGAGAAGTTTGGGGTAGATTAGAAGAAGTTTGGGATAGATTAGAAGACGTTTGGGGTAGATTAGAAGACGTTTGGGGTAGATTAGAAGACGTTTGGGGTAGATTAGAAGACGTTTGGGGTAGATTAGAAGACGTTTGGGGTAGATTAGAAGACGTTTGGGGTAGATTAGAAGAAGTTTGGGGTAGATTAGAAGACGTTTGGGGTAGATTAGAAGACGTTTGGGGGAGATTAGAAGAAGTTTGGGGTAGATCAGAAGAAGTTTGGGGTAGATAAAAAGCTGAACTGAAGCAAAAATGTGATTTTTCAGATAACGATGTGGAATCAATATGGTGGCTGAGCGTGACTCTGTTATCCTCACGGAACCTTTCTGCTAGCTCCTCCTATGGTGGGTGTGGTGCCTGCCCACTATTGGAAAGCTTCCAGAAAAAAAGGTTTAAAAGCCGGGAGTCCAAGCGAGACCAATAGGAAGCCCCCTAGCGGGCAGGGGACGCTCTGATGCTGGGATTCTTGCCAAGGCTATATGGGCTCATCAATTGGTTGTGCTTAAGGCTTCCTAGTGACCCTCTGGACAGTATGGTTCTTATGGGATTTGTACCTTCCCACTTCCACATAGCTTTGGTAATGTATTAATTCTATGCTGTGACGCTGTCAAATGATGTCTATCTATTTTATGCTGTAATGCTCACATTATTATTGGTGTGTGTTATTATGCAGATTGTGATGAATATAAGATATATCCTCCTGTGTGTCCTGTGATAATAAAAGTGAAGGTTTTGACAGTGCAAAAATATTGCAGTTGGATTCTGTTATTTCTTGGAGTGCCGGGTGAATGCTATGATGTGCCAGGGCAGGTGTTCATTGGGTAGAGGGTCTTTCATGTGCGTAGAATATGTAATGGTATAAATGCTGATTAAAAGTACCTGTATGACTACATGTTGATTTTGTGCTTGTATATGACTTGCTTTTAGTTATTGCCCCCAGCATTTGCCATTACAGGTGGTTAGGTGGGTGTCTGAAAATAATTTAGCAACCTCATCTATAGTAGTGGGGTTGAATAAGGTAAGTGTTCAGTGTTCATATCTGTAGGGTGGAGATTTCATCACAAATTGTATCGATTTTCTTTTTGAAGTGATTGGCGAACTCCTGGGCAGTGAGTGAGTTTAGTGGGTGGAGGTAGTGGAGGACAAAGAATAGAGCTAAAGATAGAGAAGAGTTGATGGGGATTGGATGAGAAGGTGTTAATGAGAGTGATATAATAAGTCTGCTTGGCAGTGTGGAGGCAAGAACTGTATATTTGGAGGGCAGATTTATATTAGCTGCAATCGTTCTGAGACTTAAAGCAGAGCTCCACCCAAATGGGGAAGTTCCGCTTTAAGGGCTGCTTCCCTGCTCCCCATTAAGGATTGGCACCTTTTGGGAGCGAGGGGTGAGCAGGTACCCGCTTCCACTTCCGGTCCGATCGCTGTGTCGATCAGAAACGGAAGGTGTCCTCCCTCCTTCCCCGTAGTCTTTTGGGACACGTGACAGGTCCCAGAAGACTACAGGACCATTCATGAAGCGCAGCGCTACTCGCGCATGCGCAGTGGGTACCCGGCTGTGAAGCTGCAAGCTATCATAGCCGGGTGCCCACGCTGAAGATGCCAGCCTCCTGGAATACAGGTTGGGCGGTGAAACGAGCTGTGGGGGACGCACCACGGGAACGAGGGACAAGTAAGTGGCTGTTTTTTAAAAGTCAGCAGCTACAGTTTTTGTAGCTGCTGATATTATTTTTTTATAGGTCAAGTGGAACTCCGCTTTAATTTTACGTCACTGTTTCTCAAGAGCACAGCTAAGTTTTTTTAGACTTCTGGTGTCATCTGTTTGCCAGGGTTGTAGAGCTCATGGCCTGATTGTGTATGTATTGAAGGGTGGGAACTTGTCTAGGGAGGATGACAGTGAAGTGTTGTAGACAGAAGTGGCTAGATTTGGGCAGAACATGGGTGAGATTTTGTCATAGAGGTGGTCAGTAGCAGAGTGGAGAAGAGAAGAGTTGAGGTGGCGAAGGTCTCTACGGGTAATTGTTAGGCGGTTGGAGGGAGAGGTGGTGAAACAGTGAGAGCGTGAAACTAGTAAGGTGGTGATCAGAGATGGGAAATGGATTGTTGGAGAGGTTGCACGGAGTGCATAGATTGGAGAATACAAGGTCAAGGGCGTTGCCATCAGAGTGAGTAGAAGCCTGTACCCATTGGTTCAGGTCAAAAGAGGAGGTTAGACTGAAAAGTTTAGAAGTAGCAGGAGTGTCAGTGTTAACAGGGATGTTGAAATCGCTGAAATTGATTTTGGGAATTTCAAAAGAGGGAAGCCAGGCAGAGACGTCATCAAGAAAAAGTTGATACTGGTCCATGGGGGCCGGTAAATCGGAGCAATTCCTAAAGAAATTGGAAAAAAATAGATGTTTACAGTGAGCTGGATGGAACATCCATAGAGAACATCTGCTCACTCTGCCTGTTTTTAAATTCTTCCAGGACACGCCATCGAGAAACCCTCAAAGGATCTTCTCACTTTATCTCCGGGTTGTAAAATGGAAGATGAGGAGATCACAAGAGATTGTGCCGGAGAAAAGACGATGAGTTCAGCTATGGATGGTGGACTTCACAATGTGGATGGACCAACAAATCCCTTTGACTCTGAGCAACCTCGTACTATGAGGGATGGTGCTGGAATTCAGGGGGAGAATACATTTTCCTGTGCTGAATGCGGGGAAAGTTGTAACTCTAAGTTAGGTCTTACTGTACATCAGAGATCCCACAGGGGTGGGAAGCCAAATTCCTGC